AGTCATAAAAATTGATTACAGAAAGTACAGTAGCTGGATTGTGCGGGTGTTGGCTGGGCATGTTTCCATGTTTCTCGCTGAAGCGAGAACAAAATGTACAGTGTGTGTGACATATTTGAAATTTGGGAAAGAATTGTTTATTCATTGTTGTAAATGCGAGTGTGTCGTTTGTTGTCAGAATTCGCGGGTTTTAAGAGGGCACCACTGGTAGTACTTTCCGTCTGTTGATTCTGTCTGACTGTGTTTCTTTTCCCAGCACTAAATGCCCATTATTGTGTCGATGTGTTTCTCTTCACTCAAACAATCAATTGTCGGAATTCAAATGGCTATGTTATTGTCGATGTAGTGTGAAGAAAAGTACTTGCGAGTTATATCGCGGTATCCCTTTCTTTAATGCGGAGGTACTCGGTGGTTTGAGGTTGCCTCTGTTCTGCTTTACTCTTCCTCTGTTTTGTCAGTGTGTCTGTCGTACTACTCTAATGCGAGTGGCTGGAGGGCGCCACTGATAGATCCTACTTCTTTACTTTCCCTCTGCTGTTTCTGTGTCTGTCTTATTTTTCCCCAGCATTAAATGACCATTATCGTGTCGAATGTGCTCCTCTTTACTCAAACTCTATAACTAAACTCTGTATCGGCTTTCGCTAGCTGTACACCATCTGTCCTGTCCCTGTACCCTGTGAGTGAGCAGCTATTCCTCTGCTCACGAAACAGCTGCCCCTGTGTGCCTTTTTGTATGCACTGTGCGGCGCACACACAGCCCGCCGCTATCGCCGGCGAGGCACACGTTGTACCGTTATAAACACTGACGAAAGGAATGTTGTGCGCGTGCGTGATGTTTACCTGGTCTCATGGTCACGTGTACACCCCCTCCCTTCCTTGTCCGTACCAGGCTCCTGGTATTATTAGCAAGTTGCGTGAGTGGACAGAAGCCTCAGCTGAACTCTCTCCAAGTGGACAAACGCGGCGGATTGTACGGCATGAATCAAGATTTACATAGTAATAACATTTTAAAGACGTCATCGCGCCGTGTGTTTGTATGACTTTGTGAGTTTCTAATTGTACCTTATTTTGGCTTTAAAATATTAGGCCTAATCACATTCGAAGTTTTTCATCTTGAGCCAATGATAAAGGTTACGTCCAGTGGAACTTATTTTGTGAGTTGGTACATGAACACATCATTCCTCTAATCGATGGTGTTTTTTTGTTTATGTGTGGCAATTATGACTGCTTTCTTAGCGGGACGGTAAGCGTGCGGTATATGACTACGGTGCTCATTTCCGGAGCTGCCTTTCTCACCTGTTCTTTGTTGGGGAGAGTCAACATTACTTGCTGCAGATCCGACAACATCACTGGGTTTGTTTGTATGGGATGTGAGTTTTCCGGACGATAAAAGAAGTATTGTGTGGCCGTGTGTAAAAGTAAAAGACCAGGGTAATCGTAATGTGCTGTCGGTGCTGCTGTTGCTGCTCCCCTGGGTGCAGGTGTTCCACAAGAACAACTGAGCCCAGCTACACACGGCTCAGGGAGGAGGACGTAAGTGAAGGAGTTATTTTAGAAGAAAAGTTGAAAAGACAAATATAGGTTGATTAAATCTAGTTATAGATCTAGTCCACTTTCTTCTTTCTCGAGGACAGTTTTGCACGCACTAAAAGGGAACATTATCTTGGGTTGTGCCCCCCCCTCCCAAAAAAAAACAACAACAAAAAACAAACAAACAAACAAAACAAAAAACAACCAACAACAACGAAAGAGACAAATCAAAACAAAAACAAAACAAACAAAACAAAAAACAGTTTCTCTCCTCCTCTTCAAAATGTTTTGAGGTTAAATGTGTGGTTGGGGGGACGCCACAAGTAGGTCCTACTTCTTTTTGTTTGTTTTTGTCTTTCTTGTATCTGTATGTCTTTCTTACCAGAAGGTACCCCACTTGCGCGCACGGCTGTTATCTTGATGTATCATGTGCTTTATTTTACTCAATAACCCCCC